GCGCTTTCGTCATGATATGCTGATTTAAACACGATTTTTTTCATCAACGCCATTCTCAAAATCAACTACCTCGGCTACCAACACTTGATGCGTATCTTTCTTGAATCCAATACCAATATCGACCATCAGGTCTCCCAGCACCGGAGCTTGATCCTAAGTTGCCGTTTTCAGCCTTAGTTTTGATTATTGTAGCTTTTTCTGCCGAACTCGGTCAGGTCCTACGAAAGTCGCCGTTGCACCTGGATCTAACCGACTTTGTAGTTCAATGGTAGAGCGTTATATATAAAATTGGAGGTCGAGTGTTCGAACCTGGGTTGAGGTACGAATTTTTCATTTGTGATAGAGATGGGAATTTCCTTAGATCAGTTTCGAGCATTCTGCCGGCTACCCCGAATTAGGTTTTCCTGCAGGTCAATACAGTAGTACAAGGTGGGCCAAAAGAAGTCATCCGATGTTGTTTGGCTCCCATTTTTTTTCTAAATGAAAAACTTCGATTCTGTGTTTTGATTATGTTTATTTGAACCTTTAGAATTTTATTGGTCAAGTCGAGAAGATGATATCGGTCAAATGGGCGCCGTCACAATTGATTGCTATACGGGCTCGTTTTATGATCACTTCGGCGAGAACTTCGGATTCTCGCACTCGTGTCGAATGTTGTCCTTGAGGCAGCGTCTCGTCCCATACTCTTCAAGGTTGGCGGCCAAACGGCGCAGTCGGTACCGGACGACCGGGGAATCGGCAACGGAATTCGCGCTGCGCCAACACCACAGACGAGTTGTTACGCAAAAAAATAGACACGATTATTCCACGTTCTTGGAGAGGGTATCGCTCCATGCCTTGTTCACTTGTATTCTAAACCTGTCTAGTTCACAAATGTCAAAACAGATTTGACATTGGCCGCCATTTGCAAAAATAAGAACATCTTCCAATAGGGTGATTTCTTTTGGCCCACCTAGTAGTATAGAACAGTTCAAGACCTGCAGATGTACCTCTAAAAAAAGCATTATGCGGGTCACTCTGTAATTGGGCGCAAGCCTGTTGAGGATCCAGAACAAGAGAGGGATAATAAATAAATAAATAAATAATAAATAAATAAATAAATAAATAAATAAATAAATAAATAAATAAATAAATAAATAAATAAATAAGTAAATAAATAAATAAATAAATAAATAAATCTGACAGCATTGGTACACGTTTTCCCAAATACAGTGCCATCTATGTATAAACTATTTGGTTAAGTCTTCAGTGACATGATTTGAATGGCACTCTCCGGCAGATTAATGCTCGCCCCTTTCGCCTTTCACTATTTCTTCTAGATTCCCATTCTTTTTGCTTATCTCTAGTAGTTCATCGATTTCAGTTATCAGTTCGTTTTCTACTGTACACATTTTATCTTGGAGGGGATCAAAACAAGTAGGTAGTTTCTTCAAATAAACCGAGGGTCCAACGTGTTTCATTTGGGAGCACCATAAAAAAGGGGTGAAATTTGCATTTCTTCTTTAATTCTTTTCTCAGCGGTGGCACGCCTTTGAATAGCATTTGGGGTATGCCCTTTCGGAGTTTGCACATTTTTTTCAAAATTCCTACTACGAAAGGGTGCACCCCAAAACAGGGGTGCGAAAAGTTTTTTTTTTTTAATATTTGCCATTTGTCATGAAGAATCGCTGGAAAATATTTTCAAGTTCTAAAAATGACCAACAGAGGGCTTAACTGCTATCTTAAATTTTAAAATCGCATTTTCTTTAAATTTCGCATAATAAACTAAAAAAAATTTTTCATATTTTTAAAGAGAACCAGTTTATCATTTTCGTAAAAACAAAAACTCAGCTTTTTCTAAAACAAAGATGGTGTGGGGCGTTCAATTGTTTTTGCAATAACTTTCTTTAACTTCTTAACCTCGTTCTTAACCGTTTGGCCGATTTTAACAAATTTGGTATGGTTGAAAAGAGCATTCCTTGGGCAATGAGAATCAACAAAAATATAGTTAATTTAGTTGAATCCTTCTCCGCCAGGGGGCTAGTCTACACTTTTAGGTAGGCCTTGGAAAATTAAACAAATGAAACACGATGCATTATAAAATTATAACAGCCGTAATTTGTACATTATTCTGCTGTGTTTACAGTCAGAAAGTGCAGTTTTTTGAATTTGTAATCTTTTCAAAAATGCCGATGTCTAACCAAGAAGTATTTAAGATGCTGGCGATATATTCTGAGTATTCTCAAAATGCGATCATCGCTGGCCACATCTTCTATTTGCGTTATCCGAATCGACCATGAACCATCGCCGCCAGCATATTAAATGCTTCTTGGTTAGAAACCGGCATTTTAGAAAAGATTACAAATTCAAAAAACTGCACCTTCTGAATGTAAACACAGCAGAATAATTTACAAATTACGGCTGCTATTATTTTATAATGCATCGTGTTTCATTTGTTTAATTTTCAAAGACCTACCTAAAAGTGTAGGGTCCTTTTCCAAACAATCTTTCGAGCCATCCAGAAATATCGGAAATATGTCAAATAAGATACAGTTTAAGCATTTTTATTAATTAATTAAATAATTAATCTCTTTTTCCCAATATTTGAGGTTAGGAACGAGATTTTTAAAAATGGTTTTCACTGGCTTCTTTGGGTGTTATTTGGATACTTTTTTATAAAGAAAAAGTCATATTATTCCATTTAATTTGTTTGATTTTTTTAGGAATTTGGATCATTGTGCCAAAACTAGCCCCCTGACGGAGAAGGATTCAACTAAATTAACTATATTTTGGCTGATTCTTATTGCCCAGGGAATGCTTTTTCAACCATACCAAATTTGTTAAAATTGGCCAAACGGTTAAGAACGAGGTTAAGAAGTTAAAGCAGGTTATTGCAAACACAATTGAACGCTCCACGCCATCTCTGTTTTTGAAATGACTGAGTTTTTGATTTTACGAAAATGATAGATAAACTGGTTCTCTTTAAAAATGTGAAAAAAGAATGTTTAGTTAATTATGCGAACTTAAAGAAAATGCAATTTTAAAATATAAGATGGCAGTTACGCCCTGTGGTGGTCATTTTTAGAAATTGAAAATATTTTCCAGCGATTCTTCATAACCGATTTACCCAATAATTTGTTTATCCCTAAGTCATACGACGAACGGTTCCCGAGATATGGCCGAGGAACAGTGTTATTGGGTCACCCGGTACCTACACAACAAATTTCGTACGTAGAATTGTCTTCATTTTTATTGTCCGGCGAACAATTACAATGGAATTGTTTTTTTTTCGAATTTTCAAAAACTAATTTCAAATTCGTAATTTTCATGTTCAAAAACTTTAAAAGGGCATACACCAAAACCTATTCAAAGACGTGCCATCAGTCTTTCTAAATTTTATGGTTCCTATACCACCCAATTTTTTTACATACTTATATGTAACACTCTGTATAGTACACGACAATTGTTACGTCACATCTGCCTTCGCTTTTATCGCCGATAACTAATATTTCATGACGCCTCGATGTCTAACGGAATTTCCGGAATGTTCGTTACAGTTTCTCTTATATGGTAAAGGAATTATGATCCGAGGGGTCTTAGATGCTACCTGTCCTTATTGTGTCTCACGTATTAACACATAAAACGACCGCCATAGTGTAACAAACGATAGGAGTCCTTTTCATATCACATAGTCGGAACCGACTGTTGGCGAGATTTTGAAATTGGCGCGAAACGCCTGTTATTTTGTAGGAAACGAAACGCTTGCAATTTATCCCCATGGTTGTCAACTGGAAGTACAGGGTAAGTCAAAATAGCAGTGCCGGATCTGATACAAAACATTTTAAGACGAAAGTCGAAATAGAAACCCTAAATAAATCATAAACAGATTAATTCGACGAGAAGGACTACAAACATTAAAATAAATAGAAATAAACAGTGCATACCTACTGATCTTGAACATATTTGAAACATTTCAACCAATTCTAAGATTATTATTACCTGTTATTATAAATTGAAAATGGAAATTTATTGCAAAATCACGCAAAATAAAAAGTGCAGCCATCTATTTTTTTTATTGAAAAAAATCATTAATTTTTTATATGCAGCTTCCATATTAAAGTAAAAATTGATACCATAAACGAATTCTAAATTGAAATTCTTTTAAAACTAGTACGAACCTGAACCTACCTTAGAGCTCCTGATGCTGGATTGTCGTAATTATCTTGCTTCAGGCAGCTCGCTGCTATTTTTCTACTTGACTTGGTACATGTTATTAACATATTAAGGAAATTTAGAAGATTACTTAGACGATTAGGGTGTAAGCGACGCTAATTCCTATCAACTATGTCAATAGTTTGGCTGGATGAGAAGTTTTATCGTAAATTCGGGCGGCCTGGATGTGAAACACAAATTCGCAATTATTTCACTCGCAACTTTGCTTTTACACACAACACCTTTTAAAAGTTTGCAGGCGGAAATGGGTTTATTAATATTTGAGGTGCGTATATGGGATGTTCTGCGAATTTTATAAATGGGAAAAAATCGGCCTCAAAGAAAATTGTTAGCACAATAAATATAGAACTACATAAACAACAGATAAGGGCGACATTAGAACAAAGCGTTTTCATTAATCTAAATTATTTCCAGTTGATGCTTCGAGAACTGGGGAAAGCGTTTGAAAGGAATCTTGGAAAATGCGGGAGTTTTGACGTTTGATTTCATACAGCGGAGCATTTGCAAATTACCGCGTGAGTTTCGTATAAATTAACCGGTCCATAATATGCAAAGTTTAGTTAGTATTTGAAATAGACTAATCGTACGCTATGTTACGTACGTTAAGTTAAGCGCTCTCGGAAATTAAACGGCGCAACTAATGAAAAACAGCCAAATTATCAGGAGTAACTTGAAAATGAAGCGAAACTTTATGCATGCACCAACCGAAGATTAATAAATTAAGTTTCGCAAATGAAATCGTCGCCGCCTACCCCTATTACGCGGTGGTAGACTAATGAAAACCAACGTACACAATTTTATTTAATAGAATTTGAACGTTTTTTACACATATAGAAAATATTTTACACAATTAGTATTTTTGTTTGTTTCTTTGGCGTTGTACATCGCAGTGGAGGATCACCCTGAAAGCAATAACAGAGATTGTTAACTTCAAAGGTAAGGAAACCAAATGTAACCACTACATATCACTTACTTACTCACCCTTCAAAAGAAAAATTCCCTTTGAGCAGAGTATAGCAAACAAGAGAAATCCAGACGGCGCCAGCGCAGTTCCATACGCTCCTGAAATTAAATTTTGAACTGAGCACATTAATTTCGCATTAATTCTAAAAGTTTCTGTACTTCATCCCATCTTATGTTACATTAAAAATGTGGAACTTCTACACTGTCGAAATTAATATCGACGCGTCCGATATGATCAAAAATTCAACAAGCACTTCGCTTGCCGAAAGTTGTAAGAACAAAAAAAGTTCCTGTTTTATCCTGATTAAATTTTATAAGCCGTCGGATTAGGCCGCATTCGAGTAAAGAAAATTAAGCTATTACGCGCCTCCTCTTTTTTTCCGAATGTCGCTATTATACCCAAATGGTTTTCCAATTAAAATTTGGTTTACTTCACTTAACACGATAACGCGAGTATGATCGAGTGTATCTGATAAAAAATGGGTTTATTGGAATTCTAAATGAAATGTGAGAGTTATCTCAAATTCAGCGGCAATCGTTTGCCTAATGGCTTTTTCCTCGACAGAAGTTTGCTCCTTTAGGTTTGGTGACTTTCTGTGTGGAGCGGTAATGACGTGTTTTTCAAACCAATCGATTGCCTTCAATCCTTTTAGTATTTTAGACAGGGATGTGTATCTCACAAATGAATTTTGCAATGCCTGAATGGGTGCCAATGTCAATAGAAATCACATAATCTGACAACCGACTTATTTATAAGCATTGTTTTGGTTGTAACAGTGAACTGCGTGTAACAGAATTCAACGGGTTGATAAAAAAAAACTAAGGGACGTGTGTTTTCCGCAGGACGCTGTCAATGTATGTTTCCCGACAGTCACTTATGAAGGGTATAGTACAATAGTACAAAATTTTATTCACGAAAGAATATTAACTTGATTATCGTTGACTTAATAAGGTACTTTTTTTAAGGCATTTATTTAAAACCGAAATAGCTTAGCAACTGATTGTGTTATAAGGGGAGGAAGCATTTTACATATAAACATTTAAAGATCGCCTGGCATACATTCAAAATCCAATGACACTCCATTCTGCAGATCTTTGCACTGAAAGCTTCGACTTCACCAATAGATATGCCTCGTCCAGTCGATTTATTTTGCCTGTGAGAGTACTTTCCTCCGACAAACCGTTTTCGAGATATTCGCTCTTAGAATTTTGAAATCACCCATGGATATATTTCTTCCAGACGTCCCAATTGCTATTTGTGAGTACCCTCTTCCGACAATCCGTTCTGGAGGGAATATATCCGATCACGGTAAGGGGCCGAGGAGGAGGACTATGGTTGGTAGAAGTTAATTCCTTTCGTTGAGACCTTTCATTAGAGCACCATGAAGGATAAAACCAGCTCTACTCGCCCTCCCCTCCAATCCCCTTTTTTGATAAGGGGCCAGAAGGACGTAGTCTCACTTTTTTAGACTGTTACGCATATCATAAGAAAATTCGACCTTTCTTTAATAAATCACTGAAAATTGTGTTGCAATATCTCTCGCCGTTTTCGAATAATAAATTTTTAAAATTACCCCTGCAAATTCAATTTTTGACATAAAAACTTGAATATCGGCGAAGCCCTTGGAGCAAAGGGTCAACTATGGGTATCGTTGTACTCCAAATTCGACGTAGAATCCGAAAATGTAGAAAAAATAGGGGGTCCCTATTTAAAATAACAAAGTTGATGGCTACTTCCGGTATTTCCGGAAGTGGCGCCATCTTGAAAATATTTTAGTTCAATTCATCATGTGCCTTAAAGAACTTATCAGTTTATCTTCATTTTCAGAGCTTTTCCATATCTTTCTATCTGACGCTCGTCAAGAATGACCCTGTATAATATTAATTTATAATTATAATAATATTAATATATTAATATTATGTAATTGTCTATACTGTATTCATTTTAAGAAGGTAGCGGTAGAAAGCATAGGGAAGCTTTGACCTTCACTGTGATTGGTTAAAACATGGGTCAGTATTACAATGAAACATAAAACGACTGGTGAATTTTGTAAGGCCGTGGTTTATGTTGCCAACTAAACTGCCGAAGTGGCGTTAGCTGTTATTGTCAAAGATATGTTTCTGTTCGCAGTGCTGAATATTTCTACTTTACAATAATTTGGTACCTACCGCTTTATATTTTTACTGTGTGTGTTTATCTTCAAACACAGCGCCATCTACTGCCTTCTTATAATGAATGCAGTATAGTGTTTGTAATAAAATAAGATGAGATAATTCCGCGTTTGCGACGTGACCTAAACAGGCGCCCTGTCGTAAGGTGTTGATTGGTTTATCGAGTTGCCAGGTGTCGTTAATTGGATAACAAATTTCCGAGTTGTTGAATGAGGGAAGTTCGTTTCAATATTGAAGTTGGTGCGAGTTTGAGCCCTTTCGTCAAGTTCGAGGCCAAGTTGCTGTCTGTTGAAATCTGAGAAGACACGCGTGCCTGCGTTAAAGTTGGTGGCAAAGTAGTTGCCTTTCGCCGTTGTTAAACAAATTAGTTGTTTCGTCAAGAAGAAGACAGTACGTGCTGAGAATAGATGTTTTCATTGAAGTTGTCGCCTAGCCATTGGAGTCATCAGACGTGTATTTGCGTTCAGTCAGATATTTCAATCAACCTGCCTGGGAAAGAAGTTACGAAGGTCAAGTTTTGCGTGTTACGTCTTGGTTAAGTCCATTGTTTCCTTTCGCAATTAGTGTTTTGTGTGCCTGGATTTTTATTGGGGTTTGTAACTTGAAAATTGTAATAAGATGTCTTAATGTTTGTTTAATTATTTCGAAATCGAACGCATATGCGGGGATTGTTTATTTGGACGGTGTATCAGTCTAATTTGGTCTAAGAAGGATTGGGTTACGTGACGTTAATAAGCCCCGCAGGTACCATCATGACATTAATGAAAATGGCTAGATGCGTTTATAACAAAAAAAATTGCGGAAAAAGCCCTAAATTTTCCACAATCTTAATTAAAAAATGTGAGATTATGTTACTCCAAATTACCCTAGGTTAGGGGGACGTAACATTCCTACTTCAATTTCTTAGCAGGTTATGTTATTTTTCCATGATTTAATAAATGTTAAAAAATGACGTACATACATGTGTTTCTAATTATACCGTAATAGTAGTAATACTTGCTCTGCATGTTGACATAATTCATGTATACAATATTTACAGATTTTGGAGCTTGAAATACTAACAAAATATACGTGAAGATGTTCTACTACAACTTGAACGATATGCGGTACGATTGATTTCGAATCCGTCGTTTGAGACAGCAAATCGTATGTCAAAATCGTTAGTGACTGACTTAATCGAATGGGGTATCGCTCGCAAGTATTGGAGTTGCATGAGGGTGTCATGTTGCAGCCAGATTGACAATGTCAGCAGTTGGTACGAAAAAGGCGTTCGAAGTTAATCGGCGGTCGCTAACAAAGAGGCGGTCTATAGAAGGATGCGAAAGATATTCATTCCCCTTTTCAATGATAAAGGCGATCGATGCTAGTCACCGGATGATACGGAGGAGGGATTCGAAAGTTAATCGGCAGTCGCTAACAAAGAGGCGATCCTTAGATGTCCCTTCCCCTTTCAAATAATAAGGCGGTCGATGCTAGTCACCGGCTGATACGTAATAGTTCGATGTGAATCGGCGGTAGATACGAAAGAATTTGTATATGGAACATACAGGAGTTGTTTGGTTTTCGCCTCTTGGTGGTCGATACGGAAAAGTCGATCTTTGCCGGATGCAAAATGTAACCTTCGCTACGACATTCTTTTTCCCATTCAACTTGAAACTGTATGCGCTTCCAAAAGTGGTTTCATTAAAGTGTATCCACATGTGACAAGGAAGTGTCGCCTATTTGGTGTATTAGTCAAACTAAAACTAAAGTTGTATTGTACCGGGTGACCGAATAAGATTGTTCCTCGGCCATATCTTGGGAACCGTTCGTCGTATGCAAAACAAATTATTGGGTAAATCGGTTATGAAGAATCGCTGGAAAATATTTTCAAGTTCTAAAAATGACCACCAGAGGGCGTAACTGCCATCTTAAATTTTAAAATTGCATTTTCTTTAAATTTCGCATAATAAGCTATACATTCTTTTTTCACATTTTTAAAGAGATCCAGTTTATCTATCATTTTCGTAAAAAGCAAAAACTCAGTTATTTCAAAAACAAAGATAGTGTGGAGCGTTCAATTATTTTTTGACCGATTGTAACAAATTTGGAATCAACCAAAATATAGTTAATTTAGTTGAATTCTTCTCCGCCAAGGGGCTAGTTTTGACACTATGATCCAAAATCCTCAAAAATCAAATGGAATGAAAAAGTAGCCAAATAACACCCAGTGAAAACTGCTTTTCAAAATGTGTGTTTATTCCGATCCCTTTAATGACTCAGATAGGTGTCTCATGCTTAAATTGGGATTGATTTGCCGATCCGCGCCAGTTCATTTGAAGTAATATTGGAGTAATATAGCACTCGTTTGCTTTGTACTCAGAAGTACGTGATTCGAACCCAGAAGACATTTCCTTTAAATGATGGTTTTGTCCGTCCGTCTGTCTATCGGTTCTTTGTCTAACTCGAGAACAAAAAGAGACAGAAATGTGAAACCTTCGCCAATCGATTTGTACGAGTTCAAGCATCAGTGCTATTGAATATGAGCCGGTTTAAAAGCCGGGCTTTCTACTGGAAAATAAGAATGTTAAATATGTTTCTGCGCAAGCGCGTCCCTACTTCGTTACCTACTGAGCGAAATCTTAAGTAGATATTGCTGTAACAATTTAAGTTTGTGAAATTACTTTATGTTTATTGAGAAAGGCTTACCCCCCCCTTCGGAGGTTAGTTACTTATTTAAATTGAAGGCAAGCTCTTATTAGATAAAGATCCAACATTATTTCTTTTATTTAAATGGATAAGCGATTGTAAAATGGTAAGGTAAAAGTGTTTTCCTACGACTTTCATTGAAAATGACATATGTCGTACAATTATCTTTACTTGAAAATTGACAATTTCGCTCACTTATGGCAAAATGTAACGGAAAACAAAACGCACCCGTGTGATTT